AAATATGATTTGCTTTCTTTTTCATTTGTATTTTTCAGTTTTTGTTTCGAGGAAAAAGGATATTTAAAATGAGATGCAGTTTTGTAAAAGAAATTTCAGTGCTTTCATCACATTTTCCACATACTCTATTATGTGAAACTATGCCAATATAAAATGATATTTAAAACATAAATAATAATTTGATTGGTTGATTGTATCTCTCGATCATCATTTCTACTTAATATGGGAAATGATGCCATGATCGACACGGTACCAAGGCATGCCTTGATGTAAATTTTGCATGGTTCGATACATCCTAAATAAGAGGGATTCAAAATTTTCGATCATCCATGTTTGACTCTGAATTCTAATACGATAAGTAAATTATGTATTAACGCTAAGACGATGTTGTCCTCGGACACCCTTTAATGGTTTGTGAGATCCAACTCGCAATTACATATTTAGATGATTTAAGTAGTCAAATTCCGATCTGTAGATTAGCTAAAGATTTCTTCACGATGATTGTTTTGAAATCCTTTTATTGCGATAGTCAATAATTGCAGGTCATGTTCTCGCTGACCCTAAAAAGCAGAGACAAAAGTCGAAGACGACCATGGCAGCCGAGCAACAGGCAATTCTAGTCCCGTACATTTGAGCTTCCATTTAGCAACAGCCTCAGCGTGCCGTAGGGGGGAGGAAGTGTGAACAAGGAGGAATACGCCTGGTGCGAGCTTGGTGGTGGCGGAGGCTGATGACGCGTATGGCGAAGGCTTAGAAGCGGAGGTGACGATAACGATGACGATGGTCGTCAGAGATCGCGACCAGTCAACCGGCTTCCTACTTGTTGACCGCGGACTCTTTCTTCGGGATCCTCAGTCCTCGGTCAACAGTCAACACCGCTTGAACCGTCGGATCTCAGTTCTACAACTTAATCGACCAAATTAAAGGTCCACGTAGGAATGAGTAATGACCTCAACCACATCATGTTAATTTCGAGCCTTAGTTACGCATGTAGTTGAGCTTGGGTGGAGGCAACCAAGGGTTTGCTCACGAAGGCGACTAATGTCGGAGGTACAGGAAGTTAAGGCTCGTTTTGTTTAGGCAAAAACAGAGGCACAGGTAGTTATTGAGTGGTTTGGTTCACGGGTCGATGTCGGGAGCCTTCTGTTGGCTGAGTTGGACTCCGAGGTCAATCGAGCCCTCGTGACGGGGTATTGATCCGTATTCCTTAGTATACCGATCCGGGTGCCGTGTATGCTGAGCTGTATCTCTCAGTCTCCAGGGTGGTTGGCAGCTCGTCTTCGTGAGGTGGTCGCGCCCTCGGGAAGGTGTGCTGGTTGGCGTTAATCGGAATCCGGACCGATTGACGGCTCTCCTTCGTGCGCTGGGTGGTGATTCCCAGGTTGAGATGCTCGCCGCTCGCGGGTGGTTGTCCGCCTGCAAAAATGACCCTCATCGAGTGATCCCCAACTGTGGCTCCTCCGCCGAGTAAGTTAGTGCAGGGTGGATTATTTTTTTCTCGTCCCCCTTGGCCGAAGGTCGGCCAGGGGTTTTATATTATTGCATGAGGGTCGATAGCGCGTGGTCGTTGACCCTAGAAGGGCGGGACAAGACTTCTGACCGGCCGTTATGTCCGGGACGTGAGGAGTAGTGTCAAACGGCACCGCTCGAGCTCTCGGGACGGGACAAGTGAAACAACTTTTTGGTACGATTCTGACTTGGTGTGTAGCGTCAGCAGTGACGTGTCTCGGTTTCCAAAACATGTTGTACCAATAGAGATGATGAGAGATCAAATCATCGTTTATGAAAAAAAAAACTGTTAAATTGTTTTATAAAAAATATATTATTTTAATTCGAGTTTTTTTTTTTACTAAGACGTTTAAAAATCGTAGTTATAAATGTCTCGTAAATAATAGCTATTAAAGAACAAGAAAACGTTTGCCTAGCCGCATTTCCCCGTTCATCGCTTTGTTCTTTCGCCTCTTCGATGCCAGCTGATGCATTCGGATCGGTCGGAATCCTTAAACAACATCGACGACGAGTTGAAGAACTTCAGGTAAATACTCTAATTAGTTTATTATTTTTATCTTTGTTTCTTTAGATTGCAAAGAAGAATATGTTAGGGTTTCCTGATGAACGCCGCACTGCGAAGAATGGAATATGTAGATTCCTTCGTAGACAACGTGATCAGAGGTACAGCAAATCAACTATTTTTTCCTTTTTGTGGGCAGTGTCTTTTCTGAGATTTCGACCATCGATCCTGAATTTTTACTTGCATATGTGTATCATCATTTTGTTTAGTGTATATGTGTTTACGAGATAACTTAAACATTAGTCTGTGAAGAGGAGTCTACAAGTAATTGAAAGCTCTCATTCTATTCCTAACCTTTCTCTTTCACTTTAGTTAATGACAGTGCATGAAAGCTTTGGAAGGCTGCAATTGCAAAAAGGCAAAATCTCATTCCCCGCTTACCTACAATTGAATTTAACATGTGTTTTATTTCGTTTTATACATCTTAATTAGAATTTGAGAAAGAAGGCTGTGGCTTTCTTACCAGAACAAGAAGATATTAGACAACCATGAATTAGGATATGCTTTTTAGCGAAATCGTTTAATTGGATGATTTCTTTGACGAGAATGTTTGTTTAGATTTGATTGGTATATCTTCTTTATCACACAAAGCAGGGGCGTATATACCTTGAATTCTGCAAAAAAGTTGATAACTTGTTTCACTTGGAGCAAAAAAACTTGATGCAACTAAGATAGCATATTATGGTGAATAGTGTCTTTTATGACATCAATTTTTAGTTCATATATATTTTTTTACTTGGATTAATGTTATTTTCTTTGGTGTTGTCAATCCAATTCTTAAGTTCCATATATGCATACATGTAATTATTATTTTAAGTCCAAGTTTAACTAGATAAGATATCAAGGAATATTCATACAAATTCAAACTTCATGGTTGATGACAATGAGCATTTTCAAGAGAATGCTTTCAAATTGACTTCTATATATTTTAATTATAGATTTATCAACTGCTAAATTAGATTAACTTTGTCTTGATTTTATTATATTGTTAAGATGGATTATATAGGAAAAAAACACCACAGTCGTTTACTCATTTAACACTGAAGAGCCGCTCTTCAGATACAAGCAAATAATTAAAGATGTTTATTAGTTAGTTTTTGGTTGCTATTGCTAGAATTATGGAGATGGCACTTATGAATTTAAGATATAAAAAAAAAAAAAAATTAATTAAAGAAGAATGATGGAAACTGTGAAGTTATTTATTACTTTGATCTAGTAATAATAGGAATTATTTATTGATTGATGTATCCAATAACATTTTGTAGATAACGTTTGAATACTATCATATTTCAAACATGATTGAGTGGATATTATAATCAATTTATTTAAAATAAAGAAACTCGAAAAATGATTTAAAAGATATGATGGATAACTGTGACAAGACGTAGATATATAATGCTTCAAATTCATCTCGATAAAAAAAACCGGTATCATTATGTGTATATAAATATTTATTATTGTATACAATTTTTTAAATTAATTTTATGAAGGTTATGTATTCAAAATTTAAGTAAGAGGGATAAAATCAATAAATCAAAACAAAAAAATATCCTTAACTTTAGGAAGAACATTCATGGGAAGATACAAATAACTATGATATTTTTTTGATCTAATTTATTAGAAATTGAAGATTGGTTAATCTCACTTATTTTTAGCTTTCTAATAAACAGATAGTATCATCTGTAAATATAAAATACATTAAAATTTATTAAAGTTTTCTTTACCTTCCCATGAATTTGTGTGGGATACTTTTTTTGCTTTCATCTATTGATTTTATTTTTCTTAGCAAATTTTCAGAAAGTAAGCTTTGAGTACCATAAAATTCATTATAACAGCATAAAAATAAATACTTAGACATACATAAATGTTATTAAAATATTTGATGAGAATAAATTCAAGTATAATATATATATATATATATATATATATATATATATATATATATATATATATATATA